GTGCGGGGCTGCCCAGCTGTGACCTTTGCACTTCTGGAAGGCTCTCAACTGCGAATGCTTGGATTGACTGTCTTCTTTTCTTTGCCCTGGACTTGCTGGTTGCAAGCTAGTGCTTCCCTCCATCCTGGTCCCCACACCCATAACTTAACCTCCTTGAAAGCAGTGACATGACAGGGAGGGCAGGGGCAGAATGCTTGAGGCTGGTGGTGAGCAGCGGAGCCGCAGGGCCACCCCGTCCTGTCTGCCCGCGTCACACGCACAGCGATGGTTCGTCCCGCCTAATCCGAGTGCTGTTCCCTCACTTGTTCCCTGTGGTGCTACTGAACCGGGCGTCTCTCCCACCTGAGTGTTTCTGGCCCATGCACGTAGGAAAGGGTTGGTTGGAGCGTGTTGCTCAGGGCAGGAGAGCATGAGCGGAGCGGGGTGGGGGTGGGGGGGCTCTGGTGGAGGCGTGTGTGTCTGCCGCTCACTTCTGATGGCTGAGATCCGTGCAGAAGGGTTCGTCTCACAGGTGGAGACACAGGCTTGACACGGAGTATCTTGCCCCAAAGTGTCCCCCTGGGGTCCTTGGGCTCTGCCCCGCCCTCATCCCTGCTCAGTCTGATGCAGACAGCACCCTTCTCCCTCCTCGTGCGGCCCCTGCTTGGCTCTGTCATAGTCCTCTTTTTATCCTTTTCTAGAAAGAAAAGGCAAAATCGAACAGTTCTGCCGCCCGAGAACCTAACGGCTTTCCCTCTGACGCCTCAGCCAACTCCTCTCTCCTCCTGGAATTCCAGGGTGAGTCGCATCCCCATCTTCCTTGCAGGAAACAGACAACGTAGATGGTGTCCCTGCCGAGACCATGGCTACTGTGCGTCTCGTTTCCGTGGCTGCTGTTCCGCTGGGCGCTTAGGTCTTTCACATAGCGCTCCCCCGTGACTGTGAGGCGGGGGGTCCCATCGAGAACGTCCTTAAAGTGACATCATCAGAAGTGCAGACCCTGCCCCGCATAGGGCCCGGGTTTCTGAATCACAGGTGCTTTCTGTATGCTGAGTGTTTAATGGCAGTGCCTTAGAGCAGTGGCCAAGTCCGCCGTCAGCCTAAGCCCTGCGCGTGTCAGGCGGCGGTTACTGCTCGTGTGGCACTGTCGCTGCAGCGTCTTGTTTTCATTCCAATGTCAGCCTGAGCCGTGAGCCAGACAGTGCTGAGACGCCCAGGTGGGGAAGCTCCTTGACCTGCGGAATGCTGCTTCCGCGCTGGTGTGGACGATAATGGACTCAGGAGTAGCAAGACTAGAGCGCGCCCAGCGTGAGACAGGTGAACCCGGGCTGCAGCTGCCCGCTCCACACCTGTGCTCCCGGCCCCAGCAAGGTCACCGCAGCCTCGGGAGACCAGAAGGGAGGGAAGCCGCTCTGTAGCCGTGTGGGGGACGTTCAGTAGTCGCAAAGCTCTGGGAGATGTGTGGCTCCGTTTCCTCCGTGTGGTTTCATCCAGTAATGAGCAGGTGCTGCGTGTTCTGGGCAACCAAGGACGGCGTGTCGGAGCCTGCCCGCACGGGGTGCAGTGGAAAGACGCAGGTGTGCGCGGGGTACGACAGGAGCTCGGGGGAGCAGGGAGGCAGGGCCCCGCGCAGGGAGCGATGCTGGAGCTGGATGTCGGAACGTGCAGGGCTCTCCAGGAAGACTGGAAAGAGAAGGCTGTTCCTGCCTGGGGAGTGTGAGGCGGGGAGAAAGGCAGGGAGGCCACGAGAGGTGCTGGCGTGTGGGGCTTATCCTGGGAAGCCTCAGGAAGCCCCTCCATCTGTGCAGTGGAGCAGTGTGGAGCCGTGAGCCCTGGGGCAGGCCAGACCGGAGGCTGGCCAGCAGGCCTGCTCAGAGATGCTGCAGCCCAGGCCGGGGCCGCAGGAGAGCCAGGCGTGAGCGCAAGTGGTTTCATGGCGGGAGCATGGAGCCCACTTGGTGCCTGGGTGCTGGAGGCAGGGCTTGCTCTATGTTGTTATCTTAGGTGGTCGTGTTGGGCCGTCAGACAGAGCTGGCGGATGGCAGTCCTTCGGCCCTGGGGGCAGTTGGCTTGAAGGGCCTGAGCTGAGCCCCTGCAGGTACCAGCTCCAGACAAATGGGTCATTTCCTGCACATCTGTGGCAGGAGGGAGACGGGCAGGTACTGACCAGAGGCGCAGCTGCACCTCTGCCCTGGGCAGTGAGAAACCCCAAGTCCAGGCTGCAGCTGGGTGCTGAAGGATCCCGAGCTTCCCGAAGTGCGCAGGTTGCACCAGGATTCCAGCTGCCTCTGTGCTCGGGGTACAGAAATGCCGAAGTGAATCCGCGGGAGCCTGCAGCCAGCCTGCAGGGCACAGGAGCCCTGTGCTGTGGAGACGCCGGGTGTCCTGAGTCCTGTTGAGGACAGCTGCCCGAGCTGTCGCCTTTGCTGTGCTTGGTTTCAGATGAAAACAGCAACCAGAGTTCGGCGTCTGACGTCTACCAGCTAAAGGTGGACAGCAGCACCAACTCGAGCCCCAGCCCCCAGCAGAGCGAGTCTCTGAGCCCAGCACACACCTCGGACTTCCGCACAGACGACTCCCAGCCCCCCACGCTGGGCCAGGAGATCCTCGAGGGTGAGTCTGCCTTCAGGATTGTCTTCTTTGGAGGAAGGGGTTAGGGGAGCACCCCATGGCCTGGCACCATCAAGCCATTTGGTAACAGCTTGGCATAGTTACAAAAACATTTTTTTTTTTTTCAACTTGAAAAACAGAAAGGGGCCAGTGTTGTGGCACTGCAGGTTAGGCCACTGCTTGTGACACCAGCATCCCGGATCAGTGCATTTCAGTCCTGGCTGCCCCACTTCCAGTCCTGCTCCCACTGACGCACTTGGGAAAGCAGCAGAAGATGGCCCAAGTACCTGGACCCCTGCACCCATGTGAGACCTGGAAGAAGCTCCTGGCTCCTGGCTTCGGCCTGCTCTGGTCCTGGTTGTTGCGGCCATCTGGGGAGTGAATCAGCAGATGGAAGACTTCTTCCTCTCTCTGTCTTGCCCTCTGTGTCATTCTGCCTTTCAAATAAAATAAATCCTTAAAACAAAAAAAAGAAAACTTCCATCCATGGATTCACTCCCCAAATGCCTATAATACCTGGGACTGGGCCAGGAGGAAGCCAGCAGCCAGGAACTCCATCCAGGACCCCGACATGGGTGTCAAGAGGGTGTTCAGTAGCAGGAAGCTGGGTTCAGAACCAGAACCAGGACTGGAACCCAGGCACTCTGATGTAGAATGCCCGTATCCCAGCCTCTGCAGCAGACACCCAGTGCCCTGCACGTGGGCGTGTTGAGGAAGGACTGACTACCCCGTCCGGAGAGGCAGGAGGAAGCACGCGGCTCCAGCGAGGCGCAGGCGCTGTGGAGCCTGGGTGACCTCTCAGACACCCTGAGACAGAGAGCAGGTGGAGGCCTGGACGGGATCACGGCGCTGCCAACTGGCAGAGTGGGTGTCAGCTTGAGTCCCTCAGACGCCAGCGTCCGTGCCCTTTGTGCTCTGTCTAGCATAAGCCGGAGTCGAGGTGCCCCTGTCCTGGGCCCTCGTCAGCTTTGCTGCACTGCGATCTGGTGCCAGCTGGGCTACACGACAGAGCTGTCCTCTGCGTAGCTCCCTCCGTGTCTGTCTGCATCGCATCCTGTGGCAGGGGCCTGGGGAGCAATGAGCTGCTCTGGTGGGTCCAGGCACTTGCAGGCCAGGCTGGTCCCCTGTGGCCTAGTCTTAGTGTCCCCACCTCCCCGGGGTGGCTGTGGCTGCTCCACAAGACTCTGGCTCCTTCCCTCCTCACTGAGCCACTTCTGTCGGGTAACTGAGGACAGCGCCCTGCCTGGGGAGCCCTGCCTGGGGAGCCTGCCTGGGGAGCCTGCCTGGGGAGCTTGCCCTGGGCTGAACCTGCCGCTTTTTCAGAGCCCTCCCTGCCGGCCTCCGAAGTTGCCGACGAGCCTCCCACCCTCACCAAGGAAGAACCAGTGCCCCTGGAGACACAGGTGAGCGGTCACTGTGGGCGTCCCAGTTTCTCAGACACAAAGTAAAGGCTCTGTCGGCCCCTGGAGGGCGCAGAGAGGGTGTGGGGCGCCTCCGGGGTCTGCCAACCCACCTCTGGCTGCTCCTAGGTGGCCGCGGAAGAGGAAGACGCAAGTGCCCCACCCCTGAAGCGCTTCTGCGTGGACCAGCCTGCAGTGCCGCAGACAGCATCGGCGTCGGAGAGCTAGCGGCGTCTGCACCCTCCGCCTCCCACCCCGCCTCTATTTATTGTTCTCTGGCTCTGGCCGGGCTGTGTCGCTGGGGTGAGGGCAAGCGCTGGGGTCCAGAGCCTGCACATAGGAACCGTCCAGCCTGGAAGCTGACAAAGGACTTGGGGTTGCAGCACCATCATCTGTCCCTGGCACCTGTCTGCTTGTTCCCCCCAGAGGAGGAGTGCTCCTGTCCTCCCATACCCAAGTAGGCTGGAGAGTCCGCCCTCCCCGGTTCTTCTGTCACCTCCAGGTGGCAGTCTCTGCCCCAGGACCTCTGGACGGAGCTGCTGGCATGTCTGAGAGAGAGAGAGAGAGAGAGAGAGAGAGAGAGAGAGACTGTGAGAGACTGTGAGAGACTGTGAGACTGTGTGGATGGCGCCCTCTAGAGGAGAGAGTGCCTAAGGATACTTGAACTTGAAAGGAGATTGTAGAAGCTGGGATCCTCAGGGTGTGCAGCCTCCAGGCCGCTGCTGGAGGAGACTGGGCCAAGGGAGGGAGGGTGAAGGTCCGTCTCTGCCCCAGCCCGAGGCGGTCCTGCCTCCGGTGGGCTCTGGCTGCTGGTGGTCTTTGTGCCCTCCCCCCGCGCACTCCCACGCCGGCGGCTTTGTTCCCACCCGTGCGTGTCATTCCAGCACCCCCTGCCTCCTGCTGTACACTCTGCCTCAGCAAGAAGTCGAGGTTCTGACATCAGCACCCACCCCCACAGTACTGCTTCAGCTCAGACTTCTAGAAAGTTCCCTCTTCTTTCAAACCTGCATGTTTAATTGAACTTTGTGATTTTATTTTTTGTTTCAAAAAAAGTTTAAGAAAATGGAAATGAGCGACAGTGAGTGAAGACATATTTTAGCACTGAATAGAATATTTTTAAAATTAAACTATTTGAAATAGTCTTGTTGGTCTCTGAGTGCCTCATTGTGGAAGGGGGCAGGCAGGGCTGGGGGTGCTGGGGGCTGGGCCCTTAGACAGGAGTGCGCTGCCAAGATTGCCTTGACATTGTCGTGTGGCCAGTGCTGTCCCTGTGTGTCTTCCGCAGCCCCAGGCAGCAGGGAGGAATCCGTGTTGTCTGTTTTTCACTTTTGAAATTGTCATAGAATGCACATCACACGAAAGCTTTGCATTTGCACCTGCAGGTCAGCGCACAGTGTAAGCTGCTCACACGTCTGGTCATCGCCACCCTCCCCGTGAGCCTTCTCACTGCCCCCATGGGACCCTCCCACCCCACAGCACTCACTCCCTGTTTCCCACTCTTCCCAGGCCCCGGCAGCCACGGATTCCTTTTTGTTCTGATTCCTAAGGAAATCAGAAGGGTCATGGTGGAAAAGAATCTGGCGTTAGGTGTGTTCAAGAGTTTCCTAAGTAATGCCTTTGACCCCTCACCGGGGCTCCAGGTATCATGGACGGGACTAGAATCCAAGTTCTGCTGCCCCGCCTTATTAACCCCTACTTGTTTTTTCTTAAAAATTGGACACGATTAAGGTGTGAAATGAATGTCACAGATTCCATGATGACATGTGACACATAAGATAAATGTGTTCTCTAATGTATTTAAGCAAAGGGAAAGTATAACCAGCAAGAGGCCATCAAAAAATGGCCAGGGGTAGGTGTTTTGGGCAGCGATTAAGTCACGTCCTGTATATTAGAATGCCTGGATCAAGTCCCAGCTCCTTTGCTCCTGATCCAGCTTCCTACTAATGTTCCCTGAAGGCAAACAGGTGAAGTCAGTACTGGAGTCTGTCACCACTGAGAGAGCCAAAGAGCTCCGGCTTGCTGCCAGCCCACTAGCTGTACCGGGCATCTGGGATGACATGGTGGATGTGCCGGCGCCGCGGCTCACTAGGCTAATCTCGCTAGTGGCGCCGGCACACCGGGTTCTAGTCCCGGTCGGGGCGCCGGGATTCTGTCCCGGTTGCCCTCTTCCAGGCCAGCTCTCTACTGTGGCCAGGGAGTGCAGTGGAGGGATGGCCCAGGTGCTTGGGCCCTGCACCCCATGGGAGACCAGGATAAGCACCTGGCTCCTGGCTCCTGCCATCGGATCAGCGCGGTGCGCTGGCCGCAGCGCGCCAGCCGCGGCGGCCATTGGAGGGTGAACCAACAGCAAAGGAAGACCTTTCTCTCTGTCTCTCTCTCTCACTGTCCACTCTGCCTGTAAAAAAAAAAAAAAAAAAAAAAAAACAATGGGTGGATGGTTTCTCTGTCACTCTGCCTTTTGAATAAACACATCTTTAAAAATGCAAAATATAAGATATATACATACGTACATACATACATATGGGCTCACCTAACTAATGGTGTGGAATAAGGATTGCCCCAGAGGCCAGAGGGGTTTGGAGTATAAAGAAGACGAGTGGACTTCACCTTTTTATCTGGGGTTAGATTTCCATGCTGTGTTAGTCGGCATTGACAGGTGCTTGTTTTACAGATACTTGGTGCCAATGTATCCCACATGGCCGCTGTCTTTTTAAGGAGTGTATGGTGTGGTGAGGTAGGGAGGGTGGACAGGAGCTTATGCCTCACGGGGGGTGGGGTGGAGGGAAGAGGACCGTTAGGATGCAGGGAAGCGTTTCGCTGGGCATTGAAACCTCTGGTTGGGTGCAGACAGACCTGAGGAAAGAGAGTAACCAGGGCAAGTGAGGGACAGAGGTGGCAAAGCACTGGGCATATGCAGGAGCAAACTATGTAATCGGGTCTCTAACTTCCCCCACATTTCAGGGAATTTGCAAAACTGGACAGTTAGCAAAAAGTCCCATAAATGGGTAAAGTGTATCCTTCACGTCAGTTCACCTGGTACCCCTGGGTGGTTGGTCCAGGACCCCTGCAGATACCAAAATCTATGGGTGCTCACATCCCTGAGATAAATTGCCACAGGCGTGGGTGGTGGTGCACAATGGGTTAAGCTTCCCCTTGGGATGCCCACATCCCACGTTGAGTCCGTCTGCTCTGCTTCCAGTGGAGCTTCCTGCTTAGGCATCCTGGGAGGCAGCAGACGACGGCCCAGTAATGGATTCCCGACACCCACGTGAGAGACGCCCGGCTTTGTCCTGGCCCAGCCCGGTGGTTGTGGGCATTTGGAGAGTGAACCAGCAGATGGAAGATACATCTCTCTTCTCTCTCTTGCTCTGCCTTTCAAATAGATGAAAATAAGAAACATTAAAAACAAAGATGAGGCCAGCACCACGGCTCACTAGGCTAATCCTCCGCCTTGCGGTGCCGGCACACCGGGTTCTAGTCCTGGTCGGGGCGCCGGATTCTGTCCTGGTCGTCCCTCTTCCAGGCCAGCTCTCTGCTGTGGCCAGGGAGTGCAGTGGAGGATGGCCCAAGTGCTTGGGCCCTGCACCCCATGGGAGACCAGGATAAGCACCTGGCTCCTGGCTCCTGCCATCGGATCAGCGCGGTGCACCGGCCGCAGCGCACCGGCCATGGCGGCCATTGGAGGGTGAACCAACGGCAAAGGAAGACCTTTCTCTGTCTCTCTCTCTCACTGTCCACTCTGCCTGTCCAAAAAAAAAAAAAAAAAAGAAGAGGAAGGAAGAAGGAAGAAGAAAGAAGAAAGAAAGAAGAAAGAAGAAGAAAAGAAGACCCAAGTGCTTGGGCCCCTGCACTTGCGTGGGAGACCAGGAAGAAGCACCTGGCTCCTGGCTTTGGTTTGGCACAGCTCCAGTTGTTGCAGCCCTCTGGGGAGTGAACTGACGGAAGGAAGACCTTTCACTCTGTCTCTTCCTCTCACTGTCTGTAACTCTACCTCTCAAATAAATAAATAAAATCTTTAAAAAAAAAAATAGAATGGTGGCTCCCATTGGGCAACAGCAGAACCGTGAGTAAGGTGGAAATGAGGAAACAAGAAGAGTTGATTGGGTAACATCAGGTCAAATTTTTCTGTAAGAGTCCAAGCAGAGGGGACTCGATTACTCCGACTCGGGGAGACCGGGTCTCTTCTTTTTCAGGAGAAAATGGTCAGTGTGTGTCCTCTGGAAGTTTCCACTGGATGCTGCGACATTTAACGGGAATGACTCCCTTTTGGTTTGGTTGGGGTTTAATGCAGGAGCCTCCTATAATGCGTGTTAAACAGAGGGCTAAGTCTCCACTTTCCTCTCCAGTCAGTCAATACCAAGCATAAAACTGGGGCAGCAGTTAAGGTGCCTCTCAGGACTCTGCATCCTACACTGGAGAACGTGGGAGCAAATCCTGCCTCCACTTCCTATCTGGCTTCCTGCCTATGCACTTCGGAGGTAGCATGATAGTTCAAGTACTTGGGTCATCCATGTGGGAAGGCCAGATGGAGTTCCTGGCTCCTGGTGGCCAGCTAGGGAGTGAACCAGCGGATGGATAATTCCGTCTCTCTCTCTCTCCCTCCCTCCCTCTGGGTCTTTGGGATATTTGAGTCTGAGGAATGAGCAGGACAGCCCAGAAACCAGCCCCAGCCAGAAGCTGGAACTTCCTGGGCAAAGGTGTCTATCAACACGGCTGGAGGATGGGTGCGTGGCAAGGCAGAGCTCCCTGGCACACAGAGCACAAGAGACGGAGGTGCCGACGAGCTCATGCCAGGCTCACTGGCGATCTGCAGAAGAGATGCTGGGCGTGTCCCCACGTGCTGTGACCCCTGCGGCCAATCAGCTGGAGCCGACCCCGCACCAGATCCTGGGAACCAACAGGTTCTGATCCTGGTCCTCTGTTTCGGCTTGTTTAACCAGATGTTGGCAGAGAAAAGGCCTTGAGTTAGGCTAAAAGGATGATTCATGAAAACTTGGAGAGTTCAGAGCCAAAGGTCAGGGCCAGGGAGAGCAGCATGGGGAAGAAAGTGTAGGATTCAGATGAGGGCGGGGTAGGGGGGAGGAGAGAGAGGGAGGTGCACTTGTGCACTGGGGAGGAATGAGTGTGGTGGATTCTGGGAGTGGGGAGGCAGTGGTCCCTTTGGGGCCGGCGTGCTGGGACTTGGGAATCCTAAGACTGGACGCAAAGAATGAACTCAATTAGAAGACAGAGGGTTTGGAGGAGGCATTGAGAGTGGAAATTTTAGAACAGGAAACCGTTGTGCTAGCTTAGTCCCTGATTTTTTTTTGGGGGGGGGGCAGTGTCAGGACAAGATGTTAAGATCTCGTGGTTGGGGGCAGACATTTGGTCTTGCAGGGGTGAATCCTGTAGGGACACCCAGCTCTCGATTCCAGCTTCCTGCCATTGAAGGTAGCAGTGGTGATGGCTCAAGAAGCGGTGCCCCCCCTCCCCCGCCCCCGCCGCTGTGGGAGACCTGCATTGAGTTTCTGGCTCCTGGCTTCAACCTACAGCACCTTCTTTGTGTGCCTCTGAGGAATGAACCAGCAGATGGGAACTCTCTCTCTCTCTCCCTTTCAGAAAAATAGGTAAATAAAAATTAAATTCTAGGGACTGATGCTGTGGCATAGTAGGTAAAGCCGCTGCCTGCAGTGCTGGCATCCCATATGGGTGCTGGTTTGAGTCCTGGATGCTCATCTTTATTTTTTTTTTTTAAGATTTAAAAAAAATTTTTTAAAGATTTATTTATTTACCTGAAAGTTAAGAGTTACACAGAGAGAGGAGAGGTAGCGAGAGAACCCCTCCATCCGCTGGTTCACTCCCTATTGGCCGCAACATCCAGAGCTGTGCCGAGCCGAAGCCAGGAGCCAGGAGCTTCTTCCGGGTCTCCCACGCAGGTGCAAGGGCCCAAGGAATTGGGCCATCTTCTACTGCTTTCCCAGGCCACAGAAGGGAGCTGGATCACAAGTGGAGCAGCCGTGACTCAAACCGATGTCCATGTGGGATGCCGATGCTTCAGGCCGGGGCGTTAACCCACTGCGCTACAGCGCCAGCGCCGGCCCCTTATTTATTTGAAAGACAGAGTTTCAGAGAGAGGTAGAGACAGAGAGAGAGGTCTTCCAACCGCTGGGTCACTCCCCAGATGGCCGCAATAGCTGGAGCTGTGCCAATCCGAAGCCAGGAGCCAGGAACTTCTTCTGGGTCTCCCATGCAGGTGTAGGGGCACAAGGACTTGGGCCATCTTCTGCTGCCTTCCCAAGCCATAGCAGAGAGCTGGATCGGAAGAGGAGCAGCTGGGACTTGAACCAATGCCCATATGGGATGCCAGCACTTCAGGGCAGGGTTTTAACCCGCTGTGCCACAGCGCCAACCCCCCACCCCCCCCGCGGGCTGCTCCTCTTTTGATCTTCTGATCCAGCTCTCCGCTATGGCCTGGGAAAGCAGCAGAAGATGGCCCAGGTCATTGGGCCCCTGCACCCATGTGGGAGACCTGGAGGAAGCTCCTGGCTCCTGGCTTCAGATCATCTCAGTTCTGTTGTGGCCATCTGGGGACTGAACCGATGGATAGAAGACCTCTGTGCCTCTGCCTCTCTGTAGTTCTGCCTTTCAAACAAATAAATAAATCTTAAAAAAAAAAATTGAGGGTACTTTAAAGTTCGCACAAAATGTATATTACAAGACATGCATGGATTTCCAATTTTGTTTTCTACACCAAAATAAATTTTCTTTCTTTTTTTTTTTTTTTTTTTTTTTTTTTTTTTTGGACAGGCAGAGTGGACAGTGAGAGAGAGAGACAGAGAGAAAGATCTTCCTTTTGCCGTTGGTTCACCCTCCAATGGCCGCCGCGGCCAGCGAATAAATTTTCTTAAAGTTACTTTCATCTACTTTAAAGGCAGAGCGAGAGAAAGAGTGAGAGAGAGATCTTCCATCTGTTAGCTCACTCCCCAAATGCATACAACAGGCAGAGCTGAGCCAGGCTGAAGCCAGGAACCAGGAGCCCCATCCAGGTTTCTCAGGTGGGTGGCAGGGGCCCAAGCCCTTGAGTCATTTTCTGCTGCCTCCCAGGACCCATAAGTGTGGGGCTGGATTGGAAGCAGAGTAGCTGGTACTTGAACTGCCAATCTGATGCGAGATGTGGGCATCTCAAGGTGTGGCTTAACTCAATGTGCTACATCACAGGTGCTTTGCTGTGGGTCGCCGGGACCTGACCTGCCAGGCTCAATGTGTTTTCCATGAACTTTTTGAAGTACCCCAACTTCCCTGATTGTTTCTTAATGTGTCTGGAGCCCTTACTTCGAGTGATTTTTGCTGTCAGGTTTTAGCCCAGCTGATGGTCACTGCCTTGGGGTCTCCTGTCTGGGCCTCAGATCTGTAGGCCTAGCTCCACTTCCTGCACTTGTTTTTTTGTTTTTGTTTTTGTCTTTTTTTTGTTTGTTTGTTTTGTTTTGTTTTGTTTTTTTGACAGAGTGGACAGTGAGAGAGAGAGACAAAGAGAAAGGTCTTCCTTTGCAGTTGGTTCACCCTCCAATGGCCGCTGAGGCCGGCGCACCACGCTGATCCGATGGCAGGAGCCAGGTGCTTCTCCTGGTCTCCCATGGGGTGCAGGGCCCAAGTACTTGGGCCATCCTCCACTGCACTCCCTGGCCACAGCAGAGAGCTGGCCTGGAAGAGGGGCAACCGGGACAGAATCTGGCGCCCCGACCGGGACTAGAACCCGGTGTGCCAGTGCCGCAAGGCAGAGGATTAGCCTAATGAGCCGCGGCGCCGGCCCACTTCCTGCACTTGGGCCCTAGGGATCCCTGCAGCTCCCATGTAAGTGGTCACTCCAACTCAGCGCATACACATGGCTGGGATGACCACTTCCTTTGCCACACTCATTTCCTCATTTTTTTTTTTTTAATTTATTGATTTGAAAGGCAGAGAGTGACAAGAAGAAAGGGAGAGACAAAGATCTCCCATCTGCTGATTCACTCTCCGAATGGCTACAACCACCAGGGCCCGGCCCGGCTGAAGCCAGGAGCCAGGAGCTCCGTCTGGGTCTCCCAAGTGGGTGCAGGGGCCCAAGCCCTGGCCATTCATTATCTGCTGCCTTTTCAGGCGCATCAGCAGGGAGCTGGAACGGAACTGGAACAGCGGGGACTCCAATTGCCCCTCCCCTGTGGGATGCCTGTGTCACAAGCAGCCCCCCACCCCATACTTTGTGCTGCAAATTCGGTTCTGCCTTCTCTGGTAGGTGACCATGTGAGGCTTCCTGGAGGTGGTGTCGGACCTAGAACTCACCTTTTAGTGGGAACAGGATCTCCTTGAAGACAGAGGGAAAGCAGGTATGGAGCAGACACCGGCACACTTTACTCTGGGACACCCAGCAGTGTGGCCGTGTAGATCAGGAAGCTATGAACCAGGGAAGATAATTTAGCAGTCAGAGAATTTCAATGAGTGTGTTTCTGATTCACTTATTTAAGAAGAGTGACATGGGGGCCAGCGCTGTGCCGTAGTGGGTAAAGCCGCTGCCTGCAGTGCCGGCATCCCATATGGGCGCCGGTTCGAGTCCTGGCTGTTCCACTTCGATCCCGCTCTCTGCTATGGCCTGGGAAAGCAGTGGACAATAGCCCAAGTGCTTGGGTCCTGCACCCACGTGGGAGACCTGGAAGAAGCTCCCGGCTCCTGGCTTTGGATCAACCAGCTCTGGCCATTGCGGCCATTTGGGGAGGGAACCAACGTGTGGATGACCTTTGTCTGTCTCTCCCTCTTTCTGTAACTCTACCTTTCAAATAAATAATTAAAAAAGAAAGAAAGAAAGAAAGAAAGAAAGAAAGAAAGAGGGACAGAGAGCGCTGGTTCAGTCTTCAAATGCCCACAGTGGCCCCCAGGGAAGCTGGGGACTCAGTCCAAGTCCCCACGTGGGTGGCAGGGACCCAGGTACTTGCGCCATCACCGGCAGGGCTACTGCAGCATCAGGACGCGGGAGAGGGGAGGCCCAGCCCGGAGGAACCCAGGCTCCCCCATGTGGGACCTGGAGGTGCTAACCAGGATGTGCTTCCAACTGCTGGCGGCCAGACGCCCACCTCTCTGATTCTTCTGATGGTGCCAGATTTTAGCCAGGAGAAGCAGCTCCGATCTCCTGCTGCCTTCTGACTGCGCACTTTGGAAAGCACTCCTCCGGCAGATTGCACGCTATATATATATTTATTTATTTCTTAGGGCACTCTCTTGTGTCTTCCCGCCCTATAGCACCCAGCACAGGGCCCAGAACAGGGGGGGTAGCCCAGTGTCCTATCAGCAGGATGAACGGGCTTCATCTCCCATCACCACTACGTCCCCTAAGGCATTTTTCCAAAGCAGCTTCCGCCTTAGCCTCTCCAGCGTGGTCCCAGAAGCAAGCAGAACGCCTCTCTGCAGACCCCAGCCGCCCTCCCACCCCGAGTGGGTTAACTCCGGGGGGTGAGCCAAGCTGGGGCTCCAGCCACCCTTCCGCGGTCGCCTGCACGTCCTGGGGTGGCTTCCCGCCAACCCCACTACGCAGCCCGGCCCCACCCGCGCACCCCCGGGCGTGGCCGAGCGCGGCGCCTTTAAGAAGGGGCGGAGCGCGAGTGGAAAGACAAAGCCCCTGGCCGCGCGCTCCCCCTCCCCCCGCCGGCGCACCACACGGACAGTGGTGCCCGGATGTCGGTGTCGCCGTTGGTGACAGATGGCGCAGTGTCTGCCAGTGTGAGGAGCTCCCCTAGGCTGACCTCTCTGGGCTCTCGGCCTTTCGGTCCCCTGCTGCCCCCCACTTTTCGCTCTGCCGCGGACGGCCCGTACGCCTGTCACCGGCGCTTACATAACGTGACCTTTCACCTCTTCGGACTGCCCTCTAGTGCGCTGCAACCCAACTACGCGGCAGCGGCAGGACGGGGGCGGGACCCAGGCGTGGAGCGGCAGCTGCTCCGGACCAATAGAACGTGAGCGCTGAGCAGCTCTCCGCCTATTGGAGCATTCGCCCCCGGCGCCACAAGGGAGCAAGTTAGTGTGCGCGCCGGCCCGGCGGGGGGAGGAGGGGAATCTCCCGCCATTTTTCAATAATTTCCTCCGGTGCCGCTAGAGAAGGAGTCGTGACTGTCGCCCGCGGGGACCCGCAGCGGAGGTTGGCCGGAGGGGGGCTTGGAGGCGCAGCCGCGGTGTGCGTGGGAGCTCCGTGCCCCGGCGTTCCGCTCCATGGCTCCCGCGCGGCCGCGCCAGCACTGAGGGAGCCCGGAGTTCGCGCCGCCCTCTCACCCCTCCCCTCCCCCACCGCCCCCGGGAGCCAGGCGCTCGCTCCGGGCCGCGGGGCCTAGTGCTGGGCCGCGGGGCCGGCCGCGGGCCGCGCGATCCCGCCGCCGCCGCCGCCGCCGCTGCCGCCATGGCGCCGCTCCTGGGCCGCAAGCCCTTCCCGCTGGTGAAGCCGCTTCCCGGCGAGGAGCCGCTCTTCACCATCCCGCACACTCAGGAGGCCTTCCGCACCCGGGAGTATCCTTTTCCAGCCGACGGCGCGTGGGCCGCCCGGGGGGCAGCTGTCAGCGCGCCCGGCCGCCGGCGGGCCTGGATGCCGAGCCCGGGGCGGGGGTGGGGGGGCGAGCGCTCGGGCCGTGCCGGGGCCGCGCGCCCCCTCCAGCCTCGTCCCTCCCCCGCCGCGCACTTTGTCCGCGGGCCTCGCTGGCCGAGGAGCGCGCCGCCCCCTCCTCAAGTTGGCTGCGGGGGGCCCCCGGATGCCGGGGTGGGGGTGGGGGTGGGGGGCGGAGGGGAGCAGGGTTTCTCTGGCTGGTTTTGCTTTTCGATGGAAATGAAAGTTTTTGAAATCGCAGCCGCGCGGCCTCGTGATCCGCGTGTGAGTCGCGTCTCGCCCGGATGGTTCTGCTCCGGAATGGACCCCAGGCCGGGGGGCGAAGTGACAGGACCCGGAGGCCCGCGAGCCCGCAGGGCCTGGAGGGAGGCGAGGACGCAAAGAGGCTCCCTGGGAGGAGCCCTGACTTCCTTGGGCACACGCGGGTTTGCAATCGGGAAGGGTTAGGCGGGAGGTTGGTGTTTTATAATAAATTTTTTTTTTTTTTTATAGTGCCGAGAGGTACCTAGAAGTCTCAGTGTTGTGTGGTGGGAACCTGCGAGGCTGATGTTTTTAAATAGGGAGCGTCCTCCCTTCTAGTTCTCTGAGATTTCTTGTGCAAGTGTCATCCTGAAGTTTAAAAGTTGTACGACTTTGATTTACTTTTTTTTTTAATGGCTCGCCGGATGAATGATTTCTGAGCTTTAGGGTTTGAAGTCGACTTGTGCGTGCCGCTTGCTTGGGAGCTGAGGGAACCTCACGCGTGGAGGCTGATGGGTTGCTTTGTCGGTCCTTTCCCTCCTGGAACGACTTGGTTTCTTAGTGGTTCCTGCGTGCTTGCTTCGGCACGGGAGGGAGTGTTCCCGTGAGCCCTTCCTCTCCTCGGGCCTCTCCTTCCTGGAGTATCCCATAGGCTGAGAGTGTGGGGTGTTTGTGCGCAGAGACTTGGGGAAGGAATTCGTGCTCGGGAAGAGGTGCGCCTCTGGCCTGGTGCAGCTGCTCGGGGCCTCCGGCGTGTGCCTCTGTGCGGGAGGAGAGGCGGGAGTAGGGTCCAGTGCTGTTCCTGGCCGATCCCTGCCTGAGTCCCCGAGAGGAGCGCGGGCTGCCGCTGGGGCACTTTCAGCTCATTTCAGCGCTGGTCCGCTTTGTGGCCGTCTGTGGTTGAAAATGAGAGCGTTTAATTGGGGGTGGGGGGCGCGCTGCCTCTTTTTCTTGTTCTGTTAGGCATTTCCGAATGCTTCAGAGAGGTCTTGTAGCTCTGCTAACTACAGCTTTCTTCCCAGAGTAGCCTCCTTTTGTTGTTGTTGAAATAAAATTCCCTGAACAGTAGAGTGAAAAAACTTGGGGGAGTCTGAGTGCATTTTCAGATGTCATTTATTTTTTTGAGTTGTTGGTGGTCTCACCCAGTGACGTGCTCAGATGTTAATTTTTCAGCTTTGGTTCTAGTGGAGTATAAGGAGCATGCCGTAGGGAAGAGACAAGTTCTAAGTCTCTTAACAGGTCAAAAATGGCCAGAGGTAGCTGAGTGGGTACTGGCAACACAGGCTTTTTCTGATCATTTAATGACATCTTCATGAGTAGGAAGACTTTCTCTTAATGATCACAGTTGAAAACCAGAAACACTTTAAGTGATATGTACGTAATAAATGTTCTTTATTTTCCTTTTCCCACACCAGTATTTAAAATCTTTGTAACAAAGGAGTTCTTACATAGTGTTATGTATTGGGGGGAGATTGCGCCCTTGGGAGTTTGTACAAGGGGAAGCACTTTGAGGATGGGTTTTAAGCAATTGCACTGTATGGTTGGCATATTTCTTTATTAGGCTATTAGTGGTTTCATAGAGGAAAACAAATATGTGGCTGGGTTAATAGCTGCTTTTGAAGTATTACTCTCAGTTCTCATTTGTATTTATTTATTTATTTTTGACAGGCAGAGTGGACAGTGAGAGAGAGAGACAGAGAAAGGTCTTCCTTTTTGCCGTTGGTTCACCCTCCAATGGCTGCCGCGGCCGGCGCTCTACGGCCGGTGCATCGCGCTGATCCGAAGGCAGGAGCCAGGTGCTTCTCCTGATCTCCCATGGGGTGCAGGGCCCAAGGACTTGGGCCATCCTCCACTGCACTCCCTGGCCACAGCAGAGAGCTGGCCTGGAAGAGGGGCAACCGGGACAGAATCCGGCGCCCTGACCGGGACTAGAACCCGCTGTGCCGGCACCGCAAGGCGGAGGATTAGCCTAGTGAGCCGCAGCGCCGGCCTCATTTGTATTCATAAGTATGTTTTTCATAGAATTTGATACTTTAATTTTCTCTGAATACCTTTTGATTGCATGTGTACTCTGTGGCAAATTTGTGTGCTATTTTATTGAATTAAACTTGTGTGTTCTTAGGTTCTTGCAGGTATAGCCCATCTTCACTAAGCCTACAGGGCAGTTGTGAATGATGCACACACTGAATGCCTGAGTTAGGTGTAGGTTGTACTGTACACCGGAGCTTTGAATTTGCAGCGTGTTACTTCCTAGGCTTGTTCCATAGGCAAGACACTAGACCTTACTTGGAAAACATTAACAAATTTTGAGAGAGAGATCAGTATTGATATCTTCCATCCACTGGTTTACTCCCCAAATGGCTGCAACAGCCTGGAGCTCCATCCGTGTCTTCCATGTAGGTGGCAGGGACCCAGCAGGGAGCTGGATCCAAAACAGAGCAGCTGGGACTCAAACCGGTGCTTCTGTATGGGTTGCCGGCATTGCAGTTGACAGCTTAGCTCACTGGGCCACAGTGCCGACCAGACAAAATTCTTGATGTGATATTTGCCGATAACAGGAAACGCTGACTATATTTACATCACGCTGGGTTTTAAGCAGCCTCTGAAGCTATAAGGGCGTTGCTGCGTGTTAATAGTTGTGTTGTGTTGCTTCTGCTGTCCTAGCGTCTAAAGCTTAGAAACAAGTAGCTCATGACCTTTGTAGTCTAATCCTGTGAGAAATTTTCAGTGGTGTGATGATGTGCTGTCCTTTGTAGTTCTGGCCCTAGACACGAATGGCAAGAGGATTTGAAGAGCTGAATAGCTGTAGATGTGGTTGCAAGGCAGGATTTTATTGGACCATTTATTACTGAGCTCTTCTGTTTATAATTTCTTTTCTAGAGGTTTATTAATTTGTTTGAAAAAGTTAGAGAGAGAGGGCTGGGTATCCCACATGGGTGGCAGGAGCCGAAACATTTGGGCCATCTTCTGCTTTTCCCTGGGCCATTAGCAGGCGGCTGGGTCGGAAGTGGAGCAGCAGGGATGTGAACCAGTTCCCATATAGGATGCAGCAGCCTTTCTTGCTATGCCACAATACTGGTCCCAATTTAATTTCTCTAAAGTAATAAGTCATACAAGATTAGATTTATTTCTGACTTGATGACGGATTCTGGTCCAAAGAGAGAAAAAGCAGATCTTCAGTTGACTATATCATCTTTTCACTTAAGAGTCTTAGGGTTACAGTTACACTTTTTTTTTAAAGGTTTATTTATTTATTGGAAAGTCAAGAGTTACACAGAGAGGAGAGGCAGGGAGAAGTTCACTCCCCAATTGGCTGCAATGGCCAGAGCTATGCCAATCCGGAGCTAGGAGCTTCTTCCGGGTTTCCCATGCGGGTGCAGGGGCCCAAGCAGAGAGCTGGATTCGAAGTGGAGCAGCCAGGTCTCGAACCCGCGCCCACATGGGATGTCGGTGCTGCAGGCAGCAGCTTTACCCACTGTGCTACAGCGCAGGCCCCACAGTTACACCTTTTTAACCTCTATATTCTTCTGGGCCACGTGCTTTCAGGCTATCAAGTGCTTTATTGGAAGAACAAATCCCTAAGAGGCTAAAGGGAACAAAGCAGCAGCATGTTATGGTAAGGAGGTAGCTCTTGAACTCATGAAAAAGTAGATGCATAATACGATAGTCTAGGATTTGAAAATATCTTATCATTTATAGCTTACACAACCTTTGGAGAATTGCTTTGACATTTTGCCTGCAATTATATGTGCAGCAGTTGCTGGAACATAAAAACCTCAATTGGCATTTGCTCTGAGTGGTTATTTGAGAGTGAGCGACTTATTTTGGTAACCTAAAATCTGAAACAGGATTTAGAGGTAGCTGATTCAGTATTCTTTTTTTTTAATTTTATTTTTATTTATTATTATTATTATTTTTTTGACAGGCAGAGTGGACAGTGAGAGAGAGAGACAGAGAGAAAGGTCTTCCTTTGCCGTTGGTTCACCCTCCAATGGCCGCCTCAGCCGGCGCGCTACGGCCGGCGCACCACGCTGATCTGATGGCAGGAGCCAGGTAC